TAAATTGACTAAAACGTTATATCCTTTACCATTTTAATAATAATTATTTTTAAAGGTTTAATTTATTAGTTAGAATTCCCAATCATTAAACTGCACAGTATTTAAACTTTTTGGTTTTACTTCATTGCTATAAAATACTTCTAAATTCAGTCCATCATACATAAATTAATGTAGCATTATTGACTAGAGTGCATGAATATCGCGTATTATAATTAAATATTTTATTTAAAAGTTCTGGTAAATTTTCCATTTATACCCAAGGTTGATACATGATAAACAAAACGAAAAAATGACATTACATATGTAAACTCGATAATTCGGTCACTCGATAAGTCGACCAAAATTTTCACCCCATTTTCTTAATATTTAAGTAATTTAATTCGATAAGTCGGTCATATGAGCTCACCCCCACATGACTGACTTATCGAGTTTACATATGTACAAATAATATTTTTAAAGACAAACATTCTGGCAACTTGTATCAGTAACTATTTTCTCTTTTCGTTCGAATCTTTCGCTTGAAAAAATGAAGTGGATCTTTATTTCTTTGCAAACCTCAACGCGTTTTATCATGGATTTTTAAATGGTATAAATGGTGGAAATCAGTTTCCTTAGATGGAAAATTTATATAAAAGAAGTAGTAATGAATATTTCACAGCCTGTGTTACTTAATGTTTACATATTTATATATCTTTTTCATTTTTTACATTTGTTTAAAGCATGGATGATGTTGTTATACCAATATTTGAAAAGATTTCAAATATTGCAGCCAAAGCTTATGAAGCTTATAAAAATGTAAAATACTTCAAAAATTCTCTACAGAGATATATGATAGAATAGAAGCAGGAGCACATCATTTTAAATATCTGCAAAGACATCAGAGAAAAATTAAAGAAAAATTTAGGGATAAAGATTCTATTGATAACCTTCAACGTTATGTCAATGCAGTGACTAGTCTTACTAACTTGCCTGTTGAATTTTCAAAGCTGTATCTTTTAAAGAAATACTTAAATTCATTAAATTATAAAGATAGAATCATTGAAAAAATAAAAAGACATGATGATGAAACCATTAATTATTTAAATCTGGATGTCAGTCTAGAGAACCTTGAAACAGTTGAAAACTTATATGGACTAGTTGAAGAAGGATTCAATGATGTATCCCAGGTAATAATAATAGAATCCAACAACAACAATAATATATATATTTTTTATTTTAATAGGCAACGGCATCAATGAAAAACAATATGGACAATAATATGGTGTTTCTAATGGAAATGGTTGCAGGGGTTAACAAAAGTATTAAAGAATTAAGCAACAAAACAGATCAATCTGATTTTAAAAAGTTAATTCTCAGATAAAGTTTTTGATGGTTATAAATTAAAAGATCCACCATCAGGTGAGGATACAAGACATTGCAAAGTTTTTAAAAAATTATTTAATAGGGTTCAACCAGTTGCTTGTAAACCATTTGAAGCTTCAACAAATGAAAAGGATAAGGAATTATTCAATGGATATTTGACAATCTTAAGTAACTTACAACATTCAAATAGTGTTATAGCATTTTATGGTGTAACATAGAGCTCCGAAACGAGTCGGGTTTGACCCGGGTCAACATCATGTTATAATTGCCTTTAAAAGTTCAAAATTATTTTTGAAACTAGTATAGATACTAATAAATGGATAAAAATAAATGGCAAAATAACAAT